TTCCAAGCTAATTCATTTATCACTAAGTTACAACAATCTCACGGGATCCCTCCCTCCCTCCATAGGAAACCTTTCAAAGCTAATTCTATTATGGCTAGATGGAAACCACTTCACAGGATCCCTCCCTCCCTCCATAGGAAACCTTTCCAAGCTTACTGACTTAGGTCTATTTGGAAACAACTTCATAGGATCCCTCCCTCCCTCCATAAGAAACCTTTCCATGCTTATTACTTTGTTTCTATCTAGAAACCACCTCACAGGATCCCTCCCTCCCTCCATAGGAAACCTTTTCATGCTTAGTGTTTTGGATCTATCTAGAAACCACTTCACAAGATCCCTCCCTCCCTCCATAGGAAATCTTTTCATGCTTATGGATTTAGACCTATCTTATAACAATTTTATGGGATCTCTTCCTCCTGAGATTTGGAATCTTAAATCCATAACTAGTATGGATTTAAGTTCAAATAGATTTCAAGGCCAATTAATACATACCGCGTCTCACCCTCAAGGACTTCAACTTCTATACAACTACCGCAACTTTTCTGGAAATACTAGGTTGCATTTTGGACAAAAAATTGAAATGTTAAATATCAGCTCCTCAACTGATCTACGCCGTCAGATTTGCAAAAGCATGAAATTATTACCAGGATTCTTGAAACATTGTACGAGCACAGTGACAATCCGAGAGGTTGCATGCTATGACCAGGTGAACACATCTGAGACTTATGCCAAGCTTCCTAATTTACAATATATGTATCTCTCAAACAATCAAATTTCTGGTTGTATTCCAGAAAATATTGGAGAAGTCGTGCCAAATCTATCGATCTTGGATCTCTCAAATAACAGTATTTCAGGATTTATTCCCAACTCCATAGGGAATATGAAGGTTTTGGAGGCTCTTGATCTTTCTAGAAATAAATTGATGGGACCTATTCCCACTTCCATGGGAAACTTGAAAAATTTGAGGACATTAGTGTTGAGAGGCAATACATTATCAGAGCAGATCCCATCATCATTAAAAAATTGTACCAAGCTAGAGGTTTTGGATCTTGGTGACAATCAATTAGCGGGAAATTTACCATCATGGATTGGCCAAAGTCTTACCTCACTTCGTGTTCTCTCTCTGAGATCTAATAAGCTTATTGGGGCCATTCCTAAGACTATGTCAAGTCTATACTCGCTTCAAGTTTTCGATGCTGCTGAAAATTGCCTCTCAGGCACTATCCCTGACATTTTCACAAACTTCACAGCAATGAAAGTTACAGAGAAGATGGCTGATTACAATTACGATCGCAAGCACAACTTCTATTATAGGGTGAGCATTGATATAGTGGCAAAAGGGTCAATGATGGATTACACCGAATTTCTCTCTCTTGTGACATGCATAGATCTTTCGAGAAATAATTTCTCGGGAAGAATTCCAGAATCATTGACAAAATTGATAGGCTTGCGCGTGTTAAACCTATCTGGAAACGACATGATTGGGAAGATTCCTCAAGAGATTAATCAATTGCAAGAGCTAGAATCGATGGACCTCTCGAACAATCTATTCTCTGGTGGCATTCCTCTAAGCATGTCATCTATGAATTATTTGGGCACATTGAACTTGTCCTACAACAATTTGTCAGGTCCAATTCCTTTTGCGGGCCACATGAGCACATTCGATGATGCCTCAACGTACTATGGAAACGAAAATCTTTGTGGTCCTCCTCTTCCTACGAAGTGTGATAGTCCAATATCTAACAATGTTGGGGATTTGAGAACCGGGTCACCAGAGGTCCGGCAATTTTGGATTAGTGCGGGCTTGGGCTTTGGGATTGGATTTGGAGGATGGTATTCAGTTCTGGCCATTAAAAGGAAATGGAACAATGCAATTCTCAAAGTCATGGACTTCATCGCTGAGATTTTGATCACGCGATTGCAACATTTATTTCCCAGAAGAAATAGGTGATGAGTTTATAGTTATATAACTTGTTTTAGAAGATTAGAGTGTGAAGAAGTGTGCAAGAATGTAGTATTGGGTGTGTAATCTTATTAGGTGCTTGTATTGTTTGGATGTAAGTCTGTTGTGCAATATGTTCATGTCATTTGTGTTTGTTTGTATGTCCTTTTCATGTTCAATGAAATTTTATTTAGCACGGAGAGAGAGAGAGAGAGGAACTTTGGGTTTTTGTTTTTAATGGTCCAAGTGCATGTCTTGAGTAAGAGGATCTGAAATTTCTTATTCTCTTTTGTAGGAATTACAAATTTCTCATAGTTTTTTTCTTTTTTGTCAAAAAAAAAAAAATGCTCGACTGAGGGTAAGATCGTTCATGAAATACGGCAGTTAATGCGTGGTGATCCTTTCTCTTTGTCTCAACAAGAATTTTTTTTTTTAACGTTTCGTGGAACACTCGAAGCCATTTGCTACTAAAAAAATTGATTCATCCAAAATACTTCACTTGGAATTCTTCAAATTCGTTATATAGACCAAAGCTATTAAAATTGGACCCAATCGGTGCTGTGACGAGTGGAATCAATGACCAGAACCTTATTCCATCGAACTGGTTTGATCGCTGGTTTTGCCTTTTTGGTTGGACTATTTGGATTTGATATCTCAAAATTTTTAGAGGGAAGAATTATCTTAAATTTTAACTTTTAGAGAGAGAAAATATGTTAAAACTTTAGAGAGAGAAAGTTGTTAAAATTTTAGAGAGAGAAAATTGTTAAAATTTGAAAGAGAGAGAAAATACCAAATTTTTATAGAATGGTGAACTATCTCAAAATTTTAGAGAGAGAAACTATCTCAAATTTTAACTTTTAGAGAGAGTATGTTAAAATTTTAGGGAGAGAAAGTA